GTTCGTTGGCCGTAAGCGGTCATGAACAACAAGCAGAAAAGCAGTCAACATGCATAGGTAAAGAGTTTTTAGACAAGAAATATTTGATTATCAAGTTGCACAAATAATAGCCCAATCTAAATTATATTCTCCACGTATGAGTCCTAATCGTTACAATAAATGAAGGAAAAGAGGAAAGAAATGCTTGGTATTCCTCTTATACAAGTACGTGGTTTGGAATTGATCAGAACGTGAACTCACTACGGAAATCGCATTCCAGAGACTTTGCTGGTAATTTGGTTCCTTGCACGTGAGATAATGTGTAGTTCCCCTGGATATGAAATTGTGCAGAGGAACTAATATATCTGCATTTCAAAGAAAATAAATAAACAAAATTAAAACATAGAGAAAAAGGAATTAAAATTAAAGAAAGAAAAATGCAGGGTATAGGCACTGCATATGTCATACTCGGGAAGAAATCAATAGCCCAATCTACGAGTGCTTCCATCATCAAAGGCCACAAGCTCCACATGTCCATTGATATTGATGGCGAAAAGGTAGTAATATATGACACAATCTCCAGAACTTCTTCAAAAACATCTGGCCACAAAACAAGGTGAGAGAACGAGTGTCACCACTAGAAGATAACGATGGCAACAGGATTAAGAATTACAATTTAATTATAAATGCCATAGCAATCAACAATGATCATAGCTAGAAATTCAAAGCACTGACTAAGAAATTCAAATAAATGGATTCTGGAAATATTGTGCATACCTTGCCCATCGGTTGTCAACATTTTACGCATTATCGGGAGCAAGTGCGGTTCTATTTGAACATAGAGGTGAGGAAGACTACTGATCGATTCGAGAATTGTACTTATTGCGCGGAGACAACCCACCGCAGCCAATGCACCAGAATCATCATCATCATTGTCATCATCATCTGTGGCGATACACTTCCAGTAAGCAGTGGCCTGGAATTTATTAAAAAGAAAAGGTATGGGAATCCAAGAAGCAAGTCGGAAACTCAAAAAGGAGAATACGAAAGTCTATCTTACCAAATTCTGGCACAAACCCAAAGCATAAGGCGAAATTTCCTCACCAAACTTGTAAACGATAGTCTCCAAAGTAAAAGCAAGGTCTTCATTCTCAATTTCATTCATAAGCTTGAAAAACTCTGCACCAAAACAAGGTAATAATGATTTATTAAGTTGATTAGCAGAACTTTCTGTTCTAACGTCACAATAATTTCAACTGAAAAAGCATAACGATCAGAACAGTAATCCATCAGAAAGTACTTTAATGGTATCAAGATCAAGTTAGGCAGATAAGATGAATCTCGGTTTTTAAAGGCGTGCCTGAGGCACAAGGCGCACAAGAATCTTGGTTTTTAAATTTAGATTAACTTACCGTCAAGTAGTTGAGGCAGAATAGGACGAATCTCATCCAAATCTGTAGGTAGGTTGGAAATTAGTTAGTTTTCATTAATAACTGATCAAGTGTAAATAGGAAAGAGAGGAACATAGACTTGGATTTGTGAAAGTTCTACACAAACACATAAAACATAAAGGAGAAGTCTGCACTTACTTTTGCAGGCCTCGATGAAAGAGCGCAAAGCAAAAACTGAATCCACCCGAACAGGAAGTTCTTGATCACGCAGTCCAGAAATGACACAATGCAATGCATTGGTAAAATTGCTCTGGTCTGAAAATTTGATATGGGCATATTGTCCAGCAACCCAAGCAGCCTACAAAGAGAAAACAAAACGCTGAAATATATGATTCTCTCATACAAAATTACAAACTGGAAGGATGACATGGTATATGTGAAATAAGAGCAGTATCCACGTGAAACAAAGTGACCTAAAGCAAAATGGTAATACAAGAACATCAAGTGTATATTAATTTATCGTTAATGAGCAATAGTAAAACATTAACCAGTAAATAAAGCTACAGCACACAATGCGCATTTGAATCTCATGATCATGAATTTGCTTTAACCCCAAAAACATTATCCTAGTAGGCTGTAGCAGTAACTTTAGTTCAGAATCAAAACACATATGAGAACCAAAGAACTCTGGCAAAGCAGCGATGAAAGGAAATTCAAGCATTCCAATATCTAGTAACACTTGGAACCAAAGACAGGATAAGTAGGTAACACATAATCCTCAGGCTAGCACAGCTTTCCAAACAAGGGAAATCAACAAAAGAATTATCAGACCTTAGCTCTAAGATGCCCAGCAGGACTGATGAACTCAGGAAAAACATGCTGCACCAACATATTCTCCAGATTAGATTTGTACGGTTCAGTTTGCCTCAGTTTATCACAAAGTGTTCCAACAGCAAGCAGAGCACCATCCTTAAGGCGGTAAGGCTTATGATCTATTGGAGCCTCATTGTATCTAAAAATGATAGACATGTATGATATGAGTATGTCGTGTCGACAAACAATAGAATAGCCTTTCCGCTTTATATATATATATTGATTAAGAATTAAAATCTACCTTTGAAAAATGCCCACGATGAACTGTATAAATCTTTGGAAGTTGTCCTTCCCACGCTTACGTACCAACTCAGTTACAAAGTCCATAGAGGCAGTCCTTGGACTGTATAGATCTTCAAGTATATCTGCAAAGACAGTGAAAAATGTGAGACAGCTGTATGTTCAACATTATCCACGCAATACAAGGGAAATTTTAGGAACTTACCGTAACCTTTCCTCACATACTCATGTGGGTCTTCATCCCAAAGCCTTTGATCATTGTCATTGAAGCACATTAGGGGAAAAACTATCTCAAACAGCAGTACATCAAGGTGCGGCTGCAGCAAGTTGTACATACTGCTCTTTGAGATGCTGTAGAGAAACCGCTTATCGATAAGAAATTTGTTACTCCAAAGAAAATAAACATATTTAGAGCAGGGCAAAAGCTTTTTATTGGAGTTGACTAAAACAGCAGATATTGACAATTCCAAAATCCATCAGATAAACTCGAAAAATATAATTCAATGGTACAATAGACCGAGTCAACAGGTTGATTTGTTTAGAAAATTCTAACTCGGCTTGTGAATGCACTTGTAAGAATGTACAGAATCCTGCCAAGAATTTCTTTTCAAAAAGAAGAAGCGAAAATAATTCAAAATTTCAGAAAAGAAAGATACACAGATTCTCTCACAGAAGTCCATCTTATCACCAATATTTAGAATATTTGATAAATAAGAACGGAACCTTAGCAGATAAATACAAGAGTAGATAACAAGCATGTTATGTGTCTCCCGTTTATGCCTTATCTGAGAATCATACTTCCCAAAAAGAAATAAATGACACAAAACAAAGTTGATAGTAAGCAATACCCCACCTGTTGCTCAGATACTGAAGAATAAGGTTGATGACTCTATCCGGGAGATATCCACCAATACGGACAATATTCAATAATTTCAGGTGGCACTCCAATATCTTGGCTGCATAATTCGTCTGAAACATCTGGGCAAAGGCTCTGTTTTCTGGATTTTGAAGTTTTAGATCTCCAAACCTGTAATAATGCTTGTGCAGGTGTCACCAAAAGGGAAAGCAGCAAGTGCAAGATTGTAAGCCTATTTATCACATCTTCAATACATGAAAACATACCGAGTGTACAGTCTGTTTAAAATATGAGCCACCCACTTCTTGACCTTCCACCATCCCCACGATTTTCGTAGATCAGGATCTGTAGGCTGACCTTCTAAGGGCACAGGACGTTCCAAAATGTTTAGGAATAGCGCCATCCAAGCATTAAAAAAATTTGGATCAAGCAATGGTCTTGGAAGCTCTAGCTGTATGAAACAAGAATAAAAAAGAGGATCACGATAAGCTTCATGAAGAAGCATCTCAAATTAATAAATTCCCAAGTTCTAACCCCAGGAATTTGCCAACTTTGGATATGGAAACAGGGAAGCCACGATGAACAATCAATTTCAACTGTCAAGTATGATCTGTCAATATTGGTTAAAACATGCAGATATTCTCCATGCAAGCAAATAGTGTCCCAATAGTACAACAAGAAATATTATACTCAACTTTTCTACACCACACCCCGTTTACAGAAAATAACCTCAAATACAAAACCAAAGCATAAATTCATACCATCTAACATACCACTGGATTTTATTTGATAGTCAATAGAGAACCAACGGAAAAAGAAGGGTGACAAAAAGGCGCAGTGAGTGGAGCATCAAAATAACACAAGTTAATTGACATGAAACATGCACGGGTTTTATGAAAAAGTGTAGAGTTGAAATAATCAGTGAGAAGCAGCAGCATAAGTTGTGTAGACTTACATAGATGCATGACCAGAATATTTTAGAGATAAGCTTGATATGGTCTGCAACTTCCAGAGAAGGATTTTCCAAATGGACAAGCTTGCTAAATATATTCAGAAGATGCGGAAATGTCTCCTCAACAATTCGGTAAATCGGTGTCCTGTCTTCATCTGACTTAAACCTATAAACAGAAAGCACGAAAGACAATTATGACAATGAACCTAATAAAGTCGGACGTTTTGTCCTGGTTTCGAAAATGGTAGCTAATATAATTCCCAGCTTCAACAATCCAATGATAAATAGAAACCAAGGCAAACCCAAAATTGCCTATAAAAGTTCTTACGAGTAATCAATTTTGGCTTTATGTTGTTACAACAGGGAAGAAGGAAGATGAGCAAGATACGGGTCTAAGAGGATAACAAGATCTAACGCATCAGAGACTATTACACATTGACCGAGTAGAACATTATGAAAATGGAAATTGTCATATGAGGCCAGCCTAGAATACTTTGTATGATGCATAATATTCTAGAAGAAGACAAATATAGAACAGGCCAATGAGTATCAAAACACCGAATAAAGTTGAGTGCTACTGACAATCTATGCTGCTGATATGAATCATGAATGAGAAGGGGTAAAAACTCAATCAACCAATCCTAACTCCTAAGCCCATGGTAACATGTACAATGACAAATCAAACTCACTCGTATTTTGAAGAAAGGATCCTTAAGACGTATAAAGCTCCATAAACTTGTTGATCTTGCAAGTTGTGCTTCACCCAGTCCAGAAGATGAGGCCATTGCTCAGGATAGTCAGCATAAATAATGGTCTTAAGGCACTCCCCCAATTGCACTCTGTGTCACGATCATTAATGTGGCAGAAGAAGGACAAATCAACACACGTCAATACAGAACTGATGATCTCTAATTCTCTATAAAGCATGTATATTCACGGGATAGAATATATCATGTGGTTCGACATTATTTAAGGCCAATCAATAAAAAGACATGCCACACTAAGGTAAAATTATATCTGCAACCGTAACAAAGGAACCTGCCCCTACAGAGGGCTCCAAGGTGTGCAAAGAAAATGTTACCTCAATATTGGGGGAACTTGGGAGACATGTGCAAGGATCTGATCCCTGACAACATTCTTATCACTTGGCAAGATTTTGCTCTCTTCACCTACACCATAATTCATGAAACACAAGGAACAATGATGAACTATTGTCGAGGAGCCAGAACATGCTCATCAAGCGCATAAAAAGTTACCGGAAAGTGACTCCCAGTTCTTCGCGACGAAGTTCTTAAAATGGATACTAGCAGCTTGACGTACAGCCAAGTCGAAGCCACCATCAACAATTATTTGCAACACCCTTATCAAATGCTGCGGAGTGTGCTGAAACTGCAAAACCAGAGACAGGACAGCCATATCAAACGATATGGCGAAACACAGAATCACAGTAACTCGTTTCTCTATCAGCAGTGACAATCATATCTTCCTATACGAAATCGGAAACCATGTCAGAACAAGCCGAAGTAAACGATGAATAAAACCAAGGTCACACCAAGTCAATCCAAGGGGGGAAAAGAGAAACATCCATTAACTACGAGAAGTCCGAGTTCGAACAACGATTAAAAGCATACAATTCAAACTCTCAATCAACGAGAAAGCGAAATCGGAGTTACCTGATTAAGACTCTGCTCGGCGGCCTTGCGTTCATCGGGATTGGGGCTGAAAGCAGCGGCTCCAACGATGATAGCAAGGCTAGGCAGATCCATGAACACACCTCAAATCAGAAATCGATCGGAAATCCACGGAGGAAGATCCAAAGCCCGGAAGAGATGGAGAATTCGGAGAGACCAGGAGAGAGAGAGAGAGAGGGGGGGGAGTGAGGGAAGGTATTTAAACCTCTAGGGTTTTAGGGTTCATTTTTTTTGGGTTTGTATATTTGGCGTGCACGCGCGGGGACAAGACGAAAATAACAAAAATTGGTCGTGAAAAGAAGAAACACGTGAAACACATCCGACGGCAAAACAACGCCACGCCATTCGAACCCCTTGTAACTAACAGACCCACTCTCGAACGCAATATTTAATTAATTCAATTATTGAATAATATTCTAAAAAGAAAATAAAAATGGACTGATAAATTATTAAAACCATTTTAGTTTACAAAAAAAAAACCTCCATATCTTTCAAGAAGTGATGTTGTTTTTATATATGTAAGGAACATTTTTGGATCATTTCCCGGTTTATGAATGTCATCTTTAGACAATAGTCATACTAATGATATTCTCTGTATTATTATCATAATAATTTTATCGGATATATTCCAAAAAAAATAAATAGCATTATGTTTTTTTCCTCTAAATGATTGTTATTTTATAATAAGGTGACACTTAAATGCTTGAAAAAATGTCTCTTCAGAATCTTTTCCCATGTGATCGCAATGCTGTAACATATTTTTGTATAATTTATTTTAAGAAACTTGTATTTCAATCAAACTTTTGAATTGTGTAAGATTTATATAATCAATTTTGATAATATTTCTCTCATTTTAGTGGGCCAACATCACCAACGGCTGCAATCACACTGCCAGCTCTCCAAAATAATTTTTGTCACGATGTATTTGTCATATATATATATATATATATATAGAGAGAGAGAGAGAGAGAGAGAGAGAGAGAGAGAGAGAGAGAGAGAGAGAGAGAGAGAGAGAG